CAAAGCTGCCTACTAAAATTACTACCGCATAGCTGTTTTTAACTTCTCCGCAGCTCTCGAAAGCTGTGTTTGTTTAAATCCATGTCGGTGTATAAATTATTCTTTAGTGTAATATCAGTGTTTCATTGCCAGACAGCGTTGCTTCGCATGGATGTTCATCTCAGTTGCACAGGCCCCTTTATTTTACCATATAATGCTATGTGTAATGGTGAGGTCAATATGTCTACAAGTAATGTTTTTGGTCAAGTAGCGCAGAAAGACGCAACATTTAGTTAAGACTGCTGTGTCGGCGCTGAACAGACATATCTTCTTTGGTAAAAGCTGCCGACTCACACTACATCAAAGAGCGCAGCAACAACATTGCAGTCAGTCAAATTGGGGAATCATGCGTACCAGACGTGCACAATCGGTGAATGGGCCGTAAACCGCTACGCACTGGATTCATGTAATCACCGTGTGAGCCACGCAATGTCACGTGGAACGCGCACCCCCTCTCCATCAGCAACTTTGCATCGTGCTGGAATCAGTGTTTCACGTGACTGAAGGTGACGGACAGACGGGCTCCTTGTCAATATTCACTTGGAACGCTACCACACCGGGACTATTAAGCAACAGCCTTCAGTAGAAACGCAAGCAAAGCAGCTGGCAGGCACAAGTGCATACTAACTGCAACGATGATTTAACACACGTACAAATTCAAGCGCTTTATTTGCTTGGGTTACTGGATCGAATGTAAACGGACCTAGCTATGTTACGAACATTGCACTTATGCTGATTCGGTGATCCGCTGATTTGTCCGTATTTTGGATTCCAGCTCTCTTCTCCACGTTGGTGGCTTACCAGGTCTGCTCAGTTCAGATACTCGTGGCCACATGTGTTACAGCACCATAAGCTTGATGTCGGTGATGTAGGCGACATTAGCGCTTGTAGGTTTCGTACCCCGCGTTTCTTTTCCGCATGCATAGGAGTTTTCTCATTCTTCTGGATAACAGACGACGTCGAATTCATCCGACTGATATGCCCCAGTCATATCAGACGTCGCGACAGGAGTACGCGGTCCGCAGCACACATAACAGTGCAGCGTAACGCTTTCGCGTAAACAACTTGGTCTCACCAACCGGTGCGCATAATCCGTCGCAGGCACTGTTAATGCAACCGCTACGGATATCCATCGCTCTTTTGGTATATCATACTGGTTTATCTGCCGTAGGGAAGAAGAGAGAGTACCATCAACTTGTACACCAGCAGCTTCGTCGCAACAGTGAGCTGGTGGTTGTTTCACGCACCTTTGGCAAGCTTTCCAAATGACACTCCTGCATGCACTTGGCAGGCTCCGCCACATGTGCGGCGAACGCTGCATTCTTCTCCGACACGAATGCGCTAACGGTCGCACGGTTGTCATCAAACCAATCGGCCCGATAGCAGTTTGCGCGCCTGATGGTTTGCTCGGTAGCAGCCGTCACCTGTTCATTGATTTGGTCACTAACTGGAGCGATGGATTTGACATCGCCAAGGCTGGTAGCCAGCGCATTGTGAAGCTCTATCCTTTATTTAATGGCATATAGGAGAAAGTAGTGCATTTGCTTTGCTTCACGGCCGATGAGGAACACACCTATTTACGGAAACTATGTGCACTTTGGTCTGCATTAATTCGGATCCACGCAGTACACATGGCGTGCGCACGTCACGCATGTCACGCTGACGTGCGATTGTATAGGCGTGCCGGTGAGCATGACCATTGCGTGGGTGTGTTCGAGTATCTATATCACACGTACCCAGTACTAACTGTGCGTTCTTGATCATCTGGCCGTAAGTGACGCACAGGGAGAGCAGCTGGTCACCACCTTGACTATGCCTATCCCATACGGACAGGTTGCGTCCGTTCACCCTGCGGCGTCACTAGCAAAGTAATCTTTTGAATCACCAGGTAGGAATACCCGGGCTCTCTTTCGCACAGACCATATCACGGAGGAAAACTGAGTGTAAAACCTATCCTTCGTGTTATCCTGATTACACATAGTGGGAACATAGGTGAAAATAAATGAGGCAAACTTTCCTTTTCCAACTCGTATATTGATGCAAGTCGGCTGTCCCGCAGCTGGCCTCTTATGCGGTCGGATAGTGTAAATATAACCTCATATTCACTTAGCAGTTTGGTGTCGTTCCCCACCAAGTGTGAAGTGTAACCGGCACCAGCCTCATGCATCTTGTCAAGGTTAGCTAGCCGAGTCTCGCTGAGTGGGGCAACAAAGACCATGTAGCACTCAATTTCAGCGCGACCTGTGCAGTGCGTCGCTGTGATTTCTCACGCGTGTACCGGAAGAGTAGTCTGCGCATGTTCCAGCCCCCGAAGTTGAGCACATTGCGCGGAGCCATACGATTATGGTGTCGAGCAATTACTCTTGTGGTGAATTGTTTTAAAGGATTTAGTTAGTTAGGTAAAATGGGAATGCAGAGAATATGTGCTATGGATGAACAAAGCAAGGAAGACGTCAGCGGTAGTATGTTTTCGCTTATCCACCCAGCTGTATGTAGTATTTAGTGAGACCGATTCCTAATGCCACTACAGGAAGGCTAATGTAGCATGCCATTATTTTTATGGACGCAACTCATGGTAAGTGTGGTGGGCTGCACACTTCCAGGGCGTCCACACCTGACGGGATAAGGACTGACGTCATCAGCGGGTCCTGTGCCATAAGTAGGTGAACCGAATCAAGGAGAATTGTGTGTGTTGACTCTTAGCTAAAAGAAGGGCGTAACCTAGTTCCAAACCAACTGCCGCCACGAGGTGGCATTCATGACATAAGTCCACGGTCCAACAATGGGCGCAGTTGATCAACGATCTGCAAGGTTTTGGCAATTCCAATTCTTAGCGCACCATGGACTGTCCCACCAGAGGATAGGTATATGTCCCCAATTATAACAGAATGAATTCCACTGAGAATTCTGTCCGAAATCAAAACAAATGGAAAAAATTACTGAGGAAGTACACCAGCGTTGTTGAGCTTACGTGATGGCACCCCGTCCACTAGCTAGAGGCATGCTGGTGCAGTCTGATCTGATGGGATGATAAGCAGAATGTTGGATAACATGGCCTTCTACATGAGTATGGCACAAGCATGTTTGAAGCATTAAAATGGCTGCATTGGAAAATCCGTATTTCAGTATGATCCTAGTAAGGTGTACCATGACTGTACCCACCGAGGCCGCGGAATTTTCTTTTAACGTGTTGGATTCTAATTTACTTTGGGACTAATATGTTATACTTGTTTTCTCTGGCTGAGTTATGCATCAATACTGAGCTTTTGGTGTACTGTACGTGACCTAACTGCCGCTGCGTCCGCCATCTTGGATTTGTTCTACAGCAGTCTAACCGGTGTCTGCCAGACAACCAGCTTGACCGACGGCGTTTGGATTCAGCACACTGTTGTAGACTGGAACGAACGACTTCCGCATGTCTGACATTCCCAATGGCACGTACTACTTGCCCACGGTAAGCTAAGCCCAATGTTCCCTAAATGAACGATGGTAGTGGTGTAGACAGCTGTGTAAAACTTGTACGATTTGGAATAGAATGCAGCAACTACCGAAAATACTTCCATTCTCGATGTGCTCGCCTTAGTCTCAGCCAGATAACAAAGTCTTAATGCTACGACCAGTTCTCTCTGGTTCTGCACTGAGTGTACGTCTGTTTTACTCGTCAGCTGCATAACTGTGTTGACGCAGAAATGCTATAGACTGGCAGAGATTGTACAGAAGGAAGTAGTCGTGAAATCTGTCCCACATTAACCCAGACAAACCACTGCCTCAAAATCGATGCTCAACATCAAGCTCCAATTCCGCACAGTGTAAGAGTGACGATCCAAATATAGCCATCCCGAGACAAGCGGCTGCCCATAAAGATGCGTTCGCCGACTGTCAGACTGAACACTGTTAAAAGGTCCAACAACATACGCGTCCGTTGTTGCTACCCATATGACGGAGGCACTGCACAGCGTAACCTTGCCTGTTACCAAACAATTACTACTACCAGTACCACCACGGGGCTCTAGACCCCATCATTTATCCAGCGAAGAAAGAAGCCACTGGTCCCTCCAAAAAGGAGAACATAAAAAATTACCCTAATTCTCTGACTGTTACATGCTCTATTGTGACTGAATACATAAAAGATGTTAGAGGGCAAAAACAGTTGAAGTCGCTGTGTCAACTAACAGAAGTTCAAGCTAAACCAGTCAATATAATGCGTCTGGTCCGTCACCCAGACTCCGTGCACTAGGGTGCACTGCGGTTACTCCAGTTAACAATTCAGTCAGGTAATGATTCAAGGCAATTCTCTTGTCAGCCACACGCCGCCATACCACCAAATACATTGTTCGAATTGTTTCAGGCGTTCTTTGGAGCAAACGCCAGAAACGCAAACAAAATCCTGTGGACTTCCAATGGACCATGCAGTATGGATTTATTATTCTTGGCGTAATTCTTGATTGGGGGTTGGATGAGGATAATGCCTGGGTGCCCACCCCTGGGAGGAGAACGAGTCGGGTCCTCTTTTAAAGCACTAGATAAAGTAGACAACCGAAGAACGGTGAGCTGAGCGCTAGCAGTAAATGAACGGACTCAAGCTAAATCGTGTCCCGTATCTTAGCTAGAAGATTGGTATAACTACACTGCAGTCCAGCGGTCGCCACTAGGAGGAGACCAAGACACGAGGCCAACGCAAAACATTAGCAGTATCGGGTCGATGAATAGTCAGGTTCTCACCACCACCAGCGTTAGCGCTCCATGGACACTCCTGCCTCCAGTATTATTACAAACAACATTACCACCATTGCACAAACACATTGGCTTGCAACATCCTACACTGGCCTCTTCAGCACATACAAAATGCATATATGCACCCTACACAACCGCTCGTTATAATGCACCAAACAATTAACCAAATAGGCGACATGTACTACAAAAGCAAAATAAATGGCTGACCTACACTCACTCTTCACCGTCTAGCTCCGGTTGAAGTCATACAGAGTATCATCATCAGATGTGTCAAACAAACATTGTACCATCACTTCGCCCAGCGCCATGTGACGACCCGGCAGATCCGGTAGCATTATCTTCGCTCGACCATCCACAATTGTCACCGAGACAATCTGAACAGCACCGCCATACACCTGCACGGTCCACAAACCGTCCAAGCGATCCGCTGCATCCGTCGGTAGCAAGTCCCACCGCAACTCACTATGGTCAGCCTCATACAATATCTGGTTCGCCGTGTCGTACCCATTCAGCGTGCCCATCATTTTCGCCGGTGTATAAGCAACACAACCGCAAACATTATCACTAGCGTGATAAATAGCACTGTGGTCATCAGAATGTAAACCACTGTAACGCAACTGAGAGCATGGCGTCAGATGGTGCAGATCAGGGAAGCGTAATGTAGGCGTGTGTTGGTGTAATTGTGCTGTGCATGGGCGAGTGCCTGTGAGAGTGTTCGTGCGTGTGTGTGTGTGCGCGCGTGTTTGTGGGTGGAGCAGAAATAGTGGGGCAAATAAGGTTGTGCACGTACCCATACTAAATTTATCGCAGCAGCGTAGATAAATTAATGAAGGCGAATGTGCGATGATGCACAGGAGCCTACTCGTGAACATTGGCGAAAACTGCGGGACCTCGGTGAATTAATGATGACACTCACTAAAAGAACAAACCTAAGTACATATTGTACACTCCGTCACGCTATCGCACAACCACTCACGGAAGTTTTGCAACTCCCCATTCCAACGCATCAACGTATTTGCGTTGGATGAGAAACGGTTCATTCGTGGTGGGCAAACATACCATAGGGCACTAGCACGCCTTTAGCATGAGTAAAAGCAGGACACCTCCCTAATTATAGTGCCGACTTTCCAGTGGTGCAAGTAGACACTGTGAGAATAGGAACGAGCACTTACATCCGCAAATAACGCGAGTGATGTGATGAGATACTTTTACTCATGCAAGTATGATGTTGATGATTTGTATATGAGAAATATTATGACCAACTATGACGCAATCGATGTGCATCCAGGACGGATGCGGGGAGTCAATCTCCGCCGCAAGCGCCGACGTCCGTCATCTTCAAACAACACACCACCGGTGTAGATCCGAATTCCGTGTAACTCGACTTTCCCATTGGCTGCTTTGCCACCACATGTCGCGCGCTCGAGTCAGTCGACATAAGGTGCGTGCGCACATACTAATGTACCGACGTTGTCCAACCCGTGCTAGCAATCTCCTTCTCCATGTCACGGTGACGTGATTATTTTTGAGCCATCCACGTGCAGTATCCCATCCGGCGGATCGAATCGCACATGTATCAGATCAGCATCTGGTATCCAAAACTCGTGCATTCGAATTCACTGCACAATCAGGCAAATTAATAGAGCTACGAACAACCAGACAATCGGTTGGAAATACAGTGTCAATCAGTCAGTTTGCGTGTACGAATAAGCAGACGGACAAGTGCACCAACAAGTAAGAAGCAACCCACCACACACAATCGTACACACGGCAACAGTCACGTTCATACCATCGTCACAATACTTGCACCCTTGTTAGCAGCGACCCAATCGTGCACCGCGCAACGGAATAGAGGACAACCGGATGTCATCAGGCACCAACATAACATGGACAATTTGTACGAGACACAATAGTGCACCAACTGGGACACACACACGTAGAAGTATTAGCACAGAAGCAATGGACGAAGAGGATGTGCAAGCGGAGGCGGTGGCATAAACGCAGCCGGGGCTAGTTTAGGAATCGGTGTGGATATGGATGATAATGGATATGGAGATGGAGTTGTGGACAGGATAAGGCAAACAGCGGAATGGGGATTGAGATGCAAATTTGCTATCATACTCTGTGTGCTCTGTGTGCAGATGTAGGGTGAATTCCAAATGGATGGTCTCGACGAGCATGCTGCATCAGTGTAAGCAGTGAGTGAACCACACTATGTAGCTTATGTGAAACCGGCCCACACATACTCAGGGACACATTGCTCCCTCCACGAAATATGCGCTGCACAACGAACCAACGGAGTAGGATTATTGATTTCATTAAATGAGCCATTGGGTTCCAGTTGCGGATCCTGTTGTGTTACCTTGCGGTACGGTAGCAATTACGGTGACTTGTATTCTTTGTTTACTTTGTAAAGACCCGACTGTTAAAGAACTGCACGGGTATTATTGTAGTATGTCAACAGTGCAAGTTGCTGCCTATTTTTATAGCACCGTAGTTAAATTCTCTGCTTTTTTTAGTTTGGAGATGGGAGTTTTACTAGTTACTCTAGCCAGAAGCGAGTTTCTCGCTATCACGATTACAGCATCCCCGGGACATCCAATAAGCTTACTGGAAGACAGCTTCAGAGTGGTTCTTTTGTAAACTGCAGAGCAGTGAGTCGAAAGTTTTTTTGAGGAATAGTGCAACAAGGGAATTTTCACGTACCCTGCAGCGCGTTTAGCTATTGTATGTTGAACATGGTAGATTAGGAGAAAATCCTGCAAGATGCTTCTCAACAACAGTTGAGCTGGGTATTTTGCAGTTGTTAATCCGCATGTAGAGAAAAGTGTTTGCTAAGTTCAAAGATTTTCATTGCGGAGAAATATAGGGTGTTGCATAGTGGCAATTTGCATAGTTGATTTTATAGAATGGGGAAAATGACCCATGCTGTAACTCAGCGAAACCGATTTGCAGAGCAGTTCACGAGGCAGTAGTTGCAGCGTTATTACCTATAACTGCGTCGTAAGCGTACTTACGTACAATAATTGGGGTGGAATTGGAAGCACGCCGATATGTGCGGAGACTAGCAGGATGAGATGATTGCTCATTGCAAGACGCTTTAGTCAACAGGATGTTTGGGATAGCATTTACCGTTTTTCTTGGAAATTTGCGAGCAGTTTACCACGTACTTGCTCGCCAGGTTGCGTACTGCTGGTTTAGCACCATTCACTGACGGTGTATTAAGCAAGACTGAGCGCTTAACTGCTTAAACAGCGTTTTTTCTAATAATGGTGGAGCAATTGACCAGTCCTGCATTTCGTTTTCAGTGAAGATTATATTGAGTATCAATGAGTACTGAGGCATTCTAACTGTAACGTCCGTATCCGTACGGAAATTGACATACGTCTACGGCCGGAGTGTTTGTTGAGATTTAGGGCAGATATAGTTACTCGAAGAGATTCAGCGTGATGGGCGTACAGGCAATCGGACGGACTTTCATGGAACGCTACTGAAAAATTCTTCCTCATGGCAGGCCTACAAATATGGAAAATATTTCTGTACTGTAGATGCTGATTAATAGGATCTATTTAAGGCTTATTGTGTGTATCAATGCACTCTTTCAAAACAACCGGTGAAGTAGAGTCAGGCCCAGTAGGAGACCTTAAGTTCGAATTTTGGTTTTGGGGAGAATCTCAACATGCTGGATTATATTTTGTGAGTCGTTGTCAGCGAACCAAGGCAGTGGGAACGAAGGGGTGGAGGATGCTTCTTGTGTGGAATAACAGAAGTCAGAATTATGTATATCTACATTCCCAGATCCATGCTGCCTACTGGAACTGCTACCAAATAGCTTCTTTTAAATGCTATACAGCTCTCGATAGCTGTGGTTGAGCAAATCAATACCGGTGTATAAATTATTCTTTCATGGGATGTCAATGTTTTATGTCAGTCGGAGTTAGTTGACACGGGCGATCATTTCAGTTTTACTGGCCCCTTCATTTTTACGTCTAATATGGTTTTAGTGTTGGTGACCTCCAAACATCTACTCGTAAGTATATGATTTCGACCGGGTAACACCGAATGTTGCAAAATTTATTTAAGACATTGCTGAGTCAACGCTGAGCAGACGTATCTTCCTTGGTAAAACGGCCGGCCCACACTCCCTCAACGTGCACAGCAACAACATTACAGTCAGTCAAATTGGGGAATCGTGCGTACCAGATGAACACAATGGCCGTAACCCGCTCCGCACTGGATGCATGGAATCACCCTATGAGCCAAGCAGGGTTACGAGGCAACTACACCCCCTCCCCACCAGCAACTTTGCATGGTATGCTGGAACAAGTATTTCACGAGGTCGAAGGCGATGGATAGGCAGGCACCTTGACACTATTCACTTGAAACGCTACCACACCGGGAATATTAAGCAACAGTCAATACCTGAAATGCAAGCAAAACAGCTGGCAGGCCCAAGTACATACTAATTACAACGACGATTAAGCATACGTACCAATTTAAGCGCTTTATTTGCCTGGGTTGCTGAAACGAATGGAAGTGGACCCAACTAACTTAGGAACACTGTGCTGATGCTTATTAGATAATTACCTGACTCACCGATGTTGGATGCCTGCCGCGCTGCGCCACACTTGTGACTATCTAGGCCTGCTTGGTTCAGACACTCTTAGCGGCATGTGCTACAGCACCATGGACCTGACGTTGTTGGGGGTAGGCTCCATTAACGCGCGTTGTTTCCGTACTCTGTGTTTCTTCTCTGCATGCAGAAGGGCTTTTCCATGTTTCTGGAGTATGAACCATTTGGTATGTTCATGCCACTGGTAACGATATCTCCTGATATTCTCACTTGATCCTGTGCGGCAACGTAACTTAGGTGTTCACAGTTGCTGCCTCTGGGCACTGACTTGCATAGGTAAGAGCTGCTCGGGCATCCGCGTAGAATTCACGCTGCGTGTATACCCAGCGACATCTGGTGCCGCAATAGAAGTAAGCGGTTGTATGCATACATGCCACGGCGGCGCAACGCTTTCGTGTCAATAACTCTGTATCACCAGCCGGTGCGCCTAGTCCGTCGCAGGCACTGTTGGTGCGTATTTTGGTGCAGGAAGAGCTAATGAACCCCTATGCGCCATTATATCACGCATGTCTACACACAGATTCCCGCGATGTGCGCTTTTGTGTGCTTGTAGGGACGTTGGAAGAAGAAGAGGGGAGCCCAAGCCATGTCTTGGTTGAGAGAAATGAAAACCCTCACTTCAATTTTGGCTTCGATTGGTTCATCTCATCTGCCTGTCTGGGGTGCTGAAGATGATGAACACATGTGGTTATACACACTTACTGTTATAGCTAGGAGCCGGCCCCAATGGCGTTTTTGTTATGAATTCCTCTGTCCAAACCCTCATGCTTAGCTTCCCCTCTACGATCTCTCACGATCTCATTCGTTAAGCATAATATAACTATTTTACGACGCGATAGCCATTTGTTAGCTCTTCGGAATGATGTCTATCTGTTACTTGGTAATCAGCCG